CTGAGCCAGATGGCTGCTGCCATATGTGGGAGGAGTCAGCACTCGGATCCTTCCAGCTACTCTGTTCTCTCCCCAAAGTCTCTGTCTCCAGTCTCTCCTCAAGTGTCTCTAGACCACTTTGACTCCCTTTAGCCAGGGATCTACTATCGGTGGCTGCCACTCTGCACTCAGTAGTCAGGCTTTAGCACTACTGGGCCAGGGCTGAATACCTCCAGGGGGCTGGGCTATTGTGTCCTCTAGTGCTGTTGCCACTCAGGGGAGTGGTGTGCCCATGCAGGATGGCCACTGCTGCATAGGGGATGAGTCAACACTGGGATACCACTGGCTATTCCTTCAGTTTTCTCCCCAAAGCCTCCTTCCCCAGTCTCTCCTCAGGTGTGTCCAGCCCACTCTGCCCCCACCTTTGCCGGAGACCAGGGTAAATGGCTGCAAATAAAAATTTGTGCATTGGCCATTTAAAAGGCTCTTTGCATGTCCAGCCTTCTGTCTCTGGCAGAGAGCAACCCTGCTGTTTTCGCAGCTGGCTGTTATATGTGTACTCTTTGGGCTCTGATGCTGTAGGCTAGAGATCCCCACTCATGGTTTAGACCCTGCTCTTCTCAGGTGGATCCAACTGGCCATTTCAATAATCTTCTGGTGCTGCCGCCTGTGGGTGCTCTGCCCACCTTCTCGAGTCTCTACTGCACTCCTTACCAGTTAGGTTGTGCTAAAGCTGATTATTCTGTCTGTCCTAGGTTATAAGGCTCCTCTCTCACTTGTTCAGTTGTTTGTCCCAAGTGTCTTCTCCACAATTTAGTTGTAATTCCAGATTGGTCTTGGAGAGAGGTCTGTGTGACTTCCACTCACTCCTCTGCCATCTTGATTCTCCTAAAGAGCTTTATTCTTTAGTTCTTTTACTTAATAAAACTTGAAGCATCTTCTAGTGTCAAACACTACAACAGCTGCTATACTTATGTATACATTAGTGAGAAAAACAGAACAGCCCCTAGATGTTAAGTAAATAATCAATGTAGACAAAAAATTCTATGAAAGAAAAAAATCGAGTGCTATGGGAAAGTGTAGCAGGGTGTCCCAACTGAGATTAGGAGTAAGATGAACAATTATTAGAGGGTAACTGAGCCAAAAGTCAGGGCGTAGAGGCTAGGAGAAGAGATGTATGAAGCCTAAGGCAAAATGGTTTGGACAAACTGATGAAGAGCTGAAAAGTGGCTCAAGTAGTAGGTGCAGAAAGGAGGAAGGCCGCAGCCACATCCCACCTGGCCCTGCACAGAGACTTAACCTGGGTGGCTACTGAGGCTGAGCATTGGAATAGTTTTTGGGAACTCAGAAGGTAGTAATAATACACATTCTAGAACCTACCTCACCCTGCCTTGGGAGTCTGTTTCAATTGGGGAGGAAGACATGGAACTAGTTATGATGGAGCATGATAAGTACAACAGATCCTGAGGGAGCGTAGACTTCCCAGAGGTCAACCAACTTTGTCTTGTGGGGAATGGTTAAGATAAAGCTGGGTTTTAAAAGATAAGTAAAAAAGGAAGACCATTTCAGGAATGAGCTGCACCATGAAATCAAGTTGTGAGGACAACATTTGTAGAATTGCAGGGAGTTCCATGTGGCTCTAACATAGTCAGTGTGGCTCTAATATAGTTCAGTGTGGCCCTAGTCATCTTCTGTTATATGAGACCTGAAGGAAATAATCCCTTTTGAAAGTCAGAAGCTAGACTTAGAGACCATGCCCTGAGGAATTTCTCCTTCATCCTGTGGGTGTTTCTTGTGGCAGGGTGGGCGAGGGACAGGGTGTGGATGAGGGGGTGACCAACTCACATTTTTGTTTTACAAAGACTACTCTGGCAGTAATACAGATAGATTGAGAAACTGGGCCTGGAGGAAGGGGGACCAGTTAGGAAGATATTGCAGTAATTGTGGGAGAACTGGTGGCAGCCTGATGAGGCAATGACAGTGTAAAGGGGGAGAAGGGGCAGATGAAGAAGCTGTTTGAGGATAGCAGCTCTTGGAGATGACTGGTGTTGGGGGAGGAGTAGGGAAAAAGGACTCAGGCATGACACCAGGTTACTCACCAGGGTGACTTGCTGTGGGTGATGCCATTCACTGAGGCAACACTGTGCAGAAGTGGTGATGTGTGTGGGGAGGCAGCGCTGCTCCGGTTGGGCAGGTGCCCCAGGAGAGAGCTGTGGAATCGCCGTGTGGAGAAGTCCCCTAGGACCCAGCTGGACTAGGCATAGAAAGAGGAAAGATCAGTCCAGGTCCAAGAGCTGATTGTTTCTTTTCCTTTTTAATAAATTTTCATTTTAGAATAGTTTTATATATACAGAAAAAATTGTGAAGAGAGTACAGAGTTCTCTTAAACTTGACATTTCTTTAGGTCCTGCTTCTACCTCTTCCCTGAGAGCCATATTGGAATGGGTATCCTTATTTGTACAAATATTCCTGTACATATGCAGAAGAGGCTTATGTGGTTCAAAGCTCAAAGCAATATAAAAAGGGACACAGTAAAAATGCTTGCTCACGCCCATACCCCCATCTGTACTGGTCACTTCCACTGCCTACAGACAACAATTTTTATTAGTCTCTTGTGTACTGATCCTTCCATTTTTTAAATGTAAATGCAAGCAAATAGTAAGAATACAATCATGTGCTGCTTAGCTACCAGGGTACATTCTGAGAATGCATCATTAGGCGATTTCATCATTGTGTGAACATCAGAGTGCCACTTATACAACCTAGAGGGTATAGCCTATTACTGTAATTGTATGTGCTGTACTTTTATATGACTGGCAATGTGACAGGTTTGTTTACATCAGCATCACCACAAACATGAGTAGAGGGTTGCACTAAGGCATTACCACAGCTTTGATGTCAGTATGTGACAGGAATTTTTCAGCTCCATTATAATTTTGTGGAACCACCATTGTATATTCTATATTGACCAAAATCTTGTTGGATATGACTGTATACATTGTGTGTTCCTTCCATTTTTTATACAAAACAAAGTGTAGTATGGACATTGTTCTGTAGCTTGCTTTTTGCTAAACGATATACCTTAGCACTGACTGGTATGGCTCAGTTGGTTAGGCGTTGTCCCACAAAGCCACCAGTTCAATTCCTGGTCAGGGTGCATGCCTGGGTTGCAGGTTTGGTCTCTAGTCAGGATGTGTACAGAATGCAACCAAATTAATCTTTCTCTCACACTAATGTTTCTCTCCCTTTCTTTCTCCCTCTCTTCCCCTCTCTCTAAAAATCAAAAATAAAATTAAAAAAAATAATAAAATACCTACTGGATTTCAAAGACTTAGTTTACATTCTCTTTTTTGTACTGTTTTATTAATAATGTCTTACATTGTTTACATGTTGAAATAATAATGTTTGCTATATTAAGTTAAATAAAATATTACAAATGTTTTCAATTTCTTGTGTTTAAAATGAAGCTACTAGAAAAATTAAAATTACACATGTGACTCCAGTTGTATTTCTACTGGACCGCAATGATATAGTGCATCCATTATTTTTTACAGTTTTATAGTATTCCATTGTGTAGCGTACCATACCTTGTTTAACCAGTCCACTGTTGATGCATACTTGTTTACAGTCTTCTGCCATTAAATATGCAGAAATGCTTAATCTTGTCCATGCATCACTCCATACATGTACAGGTTGATCTGCGAAACGAGTTTTATTACTGGGGAGGCTGTATTAAAGAGCAAATTCATTTGTACTTTTGATATTTCTCAGTTGCCCTCCACAAGAGGTGCACCAATCCCCACTCCCACCAGCAATGCATCTAAGTGCCAGTTTCCCCACGTTCTGCCATTTTAAACTATATCTGTGTGTTTTTGGATATAATAATGAACAATTCTCTGTTTGCTAATTCCAAGAGAGTTTGAAGAAGAAATTACAAATGGTTTGCCTAACTTCATTTTCTATTTAAAAAAAGAAAATCAACTATTGATGATAAAACTCTTAGAATCAACATTTGAGAATTGACTCTTTCTTTAATGAAAATGTCAAGGAATTAACTTACTGTTTTCCTGGGCTGTGAATTTCAATAGAAGTTTTATCACATTCAGATTTAGGAATAGAGATTTTGTCAGGGTTCCAAAGGATGAGGGACATCATTTTCTTTTGTTTTCCAAGACTTAGAGATTTTTGAGGTCCTACAGCTGCCTCCCTATCTGGGTGGCGGACATTACAAGGCGGAAAGGCCATGTGCATGAAGCCTTTACATGTGGTCAGTTTATCAGTTCCCTGGATTCATTTTCCTAGAAACACGTTCTAACTTGACGGCTGCTTAACTGAGGAAATCCACTGACAACAAAATTGGAGCTGATGAGCCGCTGTAATCATTAGACAGTCAATTCTATTTACTTTATGAATAAGCTGTAGAAAAAGTTCATCTTTCTGCCTTTAGGATTCAATTGTTATCCCTCTTTTGAGGCTTGCGTCCTCTCTACTGCTTTCTTTGCCTTTTTTGTTTGTTTGTTTGTTTTTTCAGGTTGAAGTGCAAAACTAAACATTCATCATCTAGGAAAAAAATTGCTTCAATTTTTCCATTTATAGGAATCTGGAAATAAGATTCTCATAAAGAGAAACCTCACTATGTAGTTAGGGATGTACAGATAAGTTAATAAATTAGGATAAAGGAAATCCTTGGCTTTTAGGCATATAAACTCATGTTTTGGCAAACCCGAGGCATAGAAGAATATAGAAAATATGACTATGGACATTTACTGTCTGTAGTAGTTCACTGTTTTTCAATATGAAAAGATTAAGAAAAGGAACAAAGGTGAGACCCTGCATGTTGCTGGTGCAGGAAGAGCGCTAGGACACTGGACTCCCCGGAGGGCCATCCTGGCCGTGGTGGCATTGAGTTATGTCTGTGCACATGGTATAGAATAAACAACCATGCTGCTTGCTGCACTACAGCTATTCTTCATGTCCTTTTTTTCTTTTATTGCTCATTTTGCTTAATTCTTTTATTTCAGGAAGGGTTTTCACTCATTGGTAGCAAGAACTGGTTGAAGATTGTAAGACGCATGGATTGTCTGTTGTTTGGAACAACAATAAAGGCAAGATGCTGTGTGGCCAACTGTTTTTAAGCAAATGACCATACCTTCTCATCTTCTGTGTGCATGCGGGGGGTGTGGGAGCTTCTCTTTGCAGGTGAGATGGAATTGGAATAGGACACATTTAAGAAAGGTTTGCATTATGAGCAGAACACGAAACAAGGACTGCAGAAAGGCAGCAGCATCGTTGGTGTTGCCACCCTAGAGGGCGTTGCTGAGGAGCCAGGGATTTGACAGACCTGTCTGAGGGGCGGGGCAGCCATTCCCATCTCCCGAGGACAGATCGAAGGGAGGCGGACTGCCTCGTTGTTTACCTTGATAGATGTTGGAAAGTTGTGTATTTTTTAGTGCTTCACTGAATGTATATTTTCATTTTTTACCTCTTTAATATTAAAAATTAAATTCCCTTTTCTTCATTAACTGTATTAAATGTAAGGAACAATCCTCACCAAAGAAACATGTGGACTAATCACCTAGGTTGTTTTCTTTCAGAAATGACAGTAAAAACCTAATTTGTTAACATTCACTGAATAGATAATATGGAAATTTAGGTAAAGATCTTAATTTCTAATGGGCTTATAAACTGAGAGTTGGAAGAGGTCTTCAAGAGCATCTCATAGAAGGGACTTAACCTGGGGTCCACAGACCTGCCAGAGGGTCTTCAGAGAATTCAGGGGTCCAGGAACGGCATGGATTTTCACTGACCTCTAATTGCAGTTTATCTTTTCCTTCAATCACGAATGTAGGCATCAGCCCACAGTTATAGTAGACCTTTGCACCAATAGAAATCTCAGATATTTTATATCATAACAGTTACTTCAGACATCTGAGCTATCACTTATGCTCACCAATACCTGAGAATTATGCTGGTTACTAGATCTTTTTATGGACTATGTTAATAAGGAAGCATGTATACTATTAGTTTACAAATTGGTATTGTAATATGGTAATAAACCATTTCAGTATAATTGGCTTCCTTGGTAATCTTATATATTTTGTGTGATTAAAAAAAACATTGCTCTAAGAAGGGGTCCACTGACCTCACCAGACTTCCAAAGTGGTCTGGAGCACGTACTCAAAAAATTCATGCATCCGTTTTTCTTTTTGCACATGAGGAAACTGAGTTCAGCTTGAGCCAATAGCCAAGGTGATAACTGTCAGAGAACTGGCACCCGTCGGTCCCCGGACTTCCCGCTGGGGACTGCGTCCTGCAGACTGAATGTGCAGTTGCACCACGCCCTATGTCTGAGAGCTGAGTTTTAATTTTTTCCTGATTATATATTGTTATTCAAAATTTTAACTAACTATAAAGAGCAAAATAAAAACCAACATAATTTGGCCCCTCAAAAATATCACTATATTACAGACCACAGAATGCTAGTTACCAGAGGGGGAAAAGGCAGTTGGGAGAGGACGGAGAGAGTGAAGGGGGTCCAATACAGGGTGAGAGAAGGAGACTAGCGTTCGGGTGGTGAGCACACAATAAAGTATACCAATGTCATATAAAAATGTACACCTAAAACTTATATAAAGTTATTACAAACCAATGTCACCCAAATAAATTTAATTAAAAATTAATCATTATTAACATTTTGAAGTTTTTACTAGGCATGGTTAAACATTTACTAGGTTATATATTAGCATTCAGATGCATGTGACAGAAAATCCAGGCATAATGGCCCCCCACAATAGGGGGTTATTTTCTTTCATTAAGTAAGAAATCCAGAAACAGGCAGTGCTAGCATCGGCCCAGCAACTCCACAGTGGCAACACCAACATCTTTGCCTCTGGCCTCTCCCTCACCTTTGCGAATGGCTGCTGCAGCTCTAGTTTATTTTCATTCAAGGAAGGCCAGCTTCATTTGTCCATTTTATATACAAGGAAAGCATAAGCTTTATTATATAGCTCCCTACCTCCCACACATCTTAGAATATGTCTACTTCTGTCTCATGGGCGAGAAAGGTGTACTGTGGCCACCCTCACGTGCCAAGGTGAGCCAGGGGAGCATTTGACTTCTCACCCTCCACTGTGGACTGGCCCATGACAACAAACTGTCTGCCATGCAGAAAATTTATAAATTTGGAATTATAGCATAGAGAGTGCTTTGTATCCTGTTGTCATGTAATATTACATCAGAAACATTATACCATTTCTTAGTTTTTGAAAATGTGATTCTTCATGGCTACATAGCATTTTATTGCTTTGGATTCAATTAACTAATTTCCAGCTTTTCACATTATAAATATGTTTCGAGTTTCATAGAATTTATTTATAGGGTTCTTGTGATTATAAGTCCTAGAAATTTGAACATTTATTTAGTAAATTTTCCCTCCAGATAGGTTATCTGTTTCTACAGCACTAGCAATGTGTAAGAATGCCCATTTATTGAAATTCTTTCCAATAAGGTAATACAATTTAAATTTGAAAACTAGTTTCCAATTGGACAGGCCAAAATGAATATCTTCCTTTATTTGCATTTTTGGTAGCTAATGAAAATAAACACTTTTTGGGTTTGTTAGCTATCCATATTTTTTCTGTGAATCACCTGTCTAGTGCTTTTGCCTACCTTTCCTCTTCAGAGTACTTAGATACTACCTGGAAAGACATTACATGTTATATAGAAATACATATTTATGTAATTTGTATAGTTAAAAAATTTTATATATAATATGTACACATCATAGAATATATAGATTCTAAAATATTTAAATTTAAGAACCATTTGCCTGTTGCTACTATGAGTGGTGATAGTCTTTAACCCAAAGATATTTCTAGCTGCTTGTTATTGGGTTTTTTATGAGTTCATTTCAACTTCCTTACTGAACTTTTATTAACTCTGATAATTTAGGTTAATTTGTTAATTTCAAGGGAAGTAATTTATAATCTGCAATGATAATTTTATTTACTTCCAATAGTTTACACTTAGTACTTTCCTCCCCTTTCCAGAACACTGTAGTTATGTGGTTACAGTGCAGCCCTTGGCATCTTGCTAACCTGAACAAGCAGACGCATTTAGGCATTAAGAACATTTCTGACTGTTGATTAGATATTCTTTACCATCTAAGGGAGATATTCTTTCAGTTATCGTTTATTAACGAACACTTTTATCAGGATTACGTATTAAATTTACCAAAAGCTTTTTGACACCTATCAAGATATGTGTTTTTCTCCTCTGATTTATTGACTTTATATATTAATATTGACCCAACAGGTTCTTTTTTGCCTTACCTGGCAAAGCGGATCTTTGGTGTTTCTTGCCTTGGATAGCTTTAGTTAACCAGGTATTATGCAACAAACACCATTGTTTAAATTGACAAATGGAAGAAATATTCTGAAATAAAATTTTCATTGCTTTAACAGCAATTTAATAGAACTTAAATTCTTTGGTAATAAAGATTATATTTCTATTCTCTCTGGCTGAAATAAGTAGATTATATAATTTCTGCCTATGTGTATTTCCCTTCTGTTCAGAAATTCTGATCACAGTGGTCCTGGTAGATGAGCTAACAGTCGACACATCCCTTTCTGAAGGGACTGTGCTTCAAAGGAGTAAATCCGAACCATTGTCCTCTTTATTTCTCACCCCCAGTAACTCAGTGAAGAATTTTTTTATGATTTTGTCTGGCCCAGGGTCTGGTTTCAAAGCAAAGGATCAAAAAAAAGTGCAGAGGCCCCTTCTCTGGCTGAGTCCTCTCTGTATCCCATCCCCACGTTCACAGTTAAGGAATTCACAGCTGACGTGGGGCAGCTGCTCCAGCTGGGGTCTTAGGGTGCTGGGAAACTTCCTACTGATCGGAGTGATTTATTGAAACCAGCGGCAAAAGCGGCAGGTTTGTGAGGCCTCTGATGTCTCCTTGGCTCTCCTCCTCCCGTGAGGTGCTAACAGGGCCCAGCCTTCCCGTGTGCCGAGACCAAGTACCGTCGGCCCTAGCACCTGCGGCTTTACAGTGACCGTGAGGGGATGCCGGTCACAGCGGGCAATCAGAATCGAGGGAAGCCTGACTCCTGTGAGCGCATAGAAGAGAATGACAAGAGACAAGCACCTACCCTTGTATCTTCACGGAGTCTGAAAGAGGATTTTCTGTTAGTTGTAATAACTTGAAATTAAGTGTTTTGAAGTAGGATGGAACAATTTAACATGTAAGGTGCCACTTAACACAGTAATTTTGAACTGATCTCTTTAGATGATAGATATTTTGGGCAGTTCATGGCTGTTAGTATATACTTGAAAACTTCCCATTTCACAGCAAGTGAATTAAAAAGTCTTTTTGACTTTTAATAATGGCATAAAAATAAATCTCATCAGGATTTTTAACCTAGGAACCCTTTTTGTTAACCCAGTGGCAGGTCTTCTTCCACGGTGCTACCTCATAGTGTTGAGGATGTGGGGTGGAGATGTAACTCATTTTCAGATTTTTCCTAATGCACCTTGGTTTATCTTGGGCCCTCAGGCCTTGAAGTGGTATTTATGGCTACAGATGATAAGCTCAAATTCTACCTGAGAATTTTACAAAGGAACCTTGGAGCGAGGCTTAAGTCACTTATCAGACATACAATCTCTCTGTGGCTTCCTGAAACTACATTCTGGAGAAGCCCTAACTAGCCAAACTCACCCTTATGTAAGCTCATATGCAGACACTGCTGGACCTACACAGTTGGTCTGAGATTATTATCTGTTTTTTTACATAGTTTTTCATCTAGCTATGCGGTATAATTTTTAATGTTATTGCTCCTCAAAAGGTTATGCAATGACAGAATCATAACAGAGGTAGCTAATGTAAAGTCACTTCATGTCTTTATATAGAATATATAGTCTAAACCAGAGTGAGTTGGAAGCAACTAATTAATTATAAACAAGAATTCAGCTCATTTTCCCAAAAGAAGATCCGTATTACCAAAAACTGGATATAGAGTTCTCTTATCATTTCTTTTCCCTTCCTCAGGGAAGGTTATCTTTCAGTGACTCTTGATAATTTGGGGATTATCCCTCCAAGAAAAGTGGCCAAGAAAGTGAGCAGGCACTGACAAAAGAAAAAACACAAAAATGATCCTAAGTGGGAGAAGAATATTCACCCTCATTTGTAATCAAAGAAATGAAATTCTAAGATAAAAATCTATGTTGACCTAATAGGTTAAAACAATTAAAAATAATAATAATCTGGTGTTGGTAGACGCAGGGAAATGGGCACATAGTCTCTTGGGGGTGCCTGGTGCTGTCCTGCCCCAGGCAGTTTGGTACAAGGTACCAAAATCCACAGATCCTTTCACCAGGTGTTTATGTATGCAGATGTGTGTATAAGAGTGCTTATCAAAGCTTGTGATTTATAATAGGAAAAAAGGCTGGAAGTAAATGTTAATAGGGGGACAGTTAAAGGAATACTCTTTAGCCATTAAAAGTCATGAAGTATACTTTTACCTTTATACTTATTGTGAAATACAAAATTAGGTTACCAGAGAGTGGTGTAAAGTATAGATAACTATTTATTATGTATAATATATAACTAAGTACATAACTATAATCTCTGTAGTCATGCACAAGTGTGTGTATATGTTCTAATATATTATACCCTAATATAATCTACGGTAAATACGCCCTTACCTATACCTCTTTTCTTCAAAGCAAAAGGAAGCACTCACTAGAAGACCCTACAGTAAATAAAGGTGATAAGACAAGGGTCACTCTGAACACATTAATTTTCCATTAAATGTGAATTTCCATTTCACATTTTTTCATTGCTGGATGGGGTAATGGTAACAGATTACTTTTATACTTAGGGAAAAAAGTTAAATGAATTAAACAATGCAGAAACCCAATAGTGGCCGGAAAGGGGCAGCCATGTCTGTTCTAAATGGGACCCCGGATCCCTGCTCAGCCATGCCGAGTCCTGTGTAACCTAAATTCAGGGCTTTGCCTGATGGCTTTAGCTAAACATTGAAATAGTATAAATCATGAAGGGGAGAATCAAGGAAATTTTGCTTATAGGAACTTAGGATTCTGCTAACCATCGTTAGATGCATTTTCCAGTTAGCAGTGTGATTTATGGATTTGATAAATGCAAAGCACTCTCACTATGCTAAGTTAGCATCTGAATTTATTTGCAGAAGGAGTTGAGTAAAAGTACACAATACAACCCATTTGGTGTGGTTTTGGGTAAGTTCACTTCTCTAACCTAGGCAGAATATTAGACTAGAAAAGAGGAAACTACTTCTCTTGAAATAATGGGATTATTGTTGTTATTGTTATAGTTTAGTATTTTTTAAACTCACAAATAAATTTGACATAATTGCTGGATTTTAAAAATTTTAATTGCATCTCTCCCAAATTTGCTGATTTGCCAAGGGATGTTAAGTCATAGACAAATTTCAGGCAACATGTGCTTCTGTGGGATTTGTATGCTAGTCTGGCCTCTTGAAGGATAAAGGACACTACAGATTGCTAATATGACACAGATTAGCTTTCGCATCAGCCCATCTGGCCCATTCCCCAGTCTTGCCTTTTCAAATTCACTGGCTTGGTTAATGCAGCATTCACCTGGTTTTCTCTTTTATATACTCAGGTTTAAAAATTTTTGTTGAGCCAGGAATATGCTGTATTATCTTCACTGAGTTTTTGCTTCAGGAATTAAAAAGCTATGAAATCTTTATTCCAAAGGAAGACAAAACATTGATCTTTTACTGCAGCCAGTATGGCCACCATCCTGGTCTGTATGGTGCTTTTCCATGTTTACTAATGCCTGTTCCCTGAAGGAAATGAAATTTCTTATGAGGCACAGCTCCTAAATGTGGGAAGAAAACTGATTATGAGCTTTCCTATACCCACATCGACAGCCTAGGGTAAATGCTCCCTTATCCCTGCCTCTTCCCCTCCAAGCAAAGGGAAGCACTCACTAGACCTGACAGTCAATAAAAGTAGTGCTATGACAAGGGTCACTTAGAGTAACTTTTGATACGTCAAACAGGACAAGAGTCGCATGTTCCGGGTGCAGTTTAGTGGAGAGTCCAAGCAGCAGGCACTGGAGCACTGTGACAGCTGCGTGCAGAGCCTGGCCCAATACGTGACTGTTCAGGTGCCTGAGGGAAGCAGCCAGGATCTGCGGCCGTGCCCGGGTCCGCTGCGGGCAGCGGAGCGCCGCCGAGGCGAGGGCTGCGCGTGGGGCGTCCCGCTGCTGCATGGGGTAAGTAGGCCAGCCTGTTGGCTGTACCAGAAACTTGACATAGTCATGCTCTCTGGGGGGGCCAGAGTGACAGCGGAATTTGTCAAGTCCATCAGGTTTGTAGATTAAAAGATATCTAATGATGAGTGACATATTTCAATTGAAGGTTGGTTTTCATTGTGGCTACCTAAAATCTTAGCAGAGTGGGTGTCACTCTGAAGCAATGGTGATCAAAGTGTGGTCTGTGGACCCTTCCCTGACTCCTTTTCAAGGATCCACAAACTCCATGTTATTTTTGTAATAATAGTAAGACATTATTTTCCCTTTTCACTTTGTATTTGTGTCAATGAGATAAAAGCATTGTGAGCAAAACTGTGCTCATCTTAGCACAAATGCAGGCAGTGGACCCAACTGCACCCCATCTCCTTCCACCACTGGCAGTGAGAAAAGACGTGGACGGGCCGTCATTCTGAAGCAGGACACTGCTTCAGGGGGCAGCACTTGTGCAACTGCGCTGGGCGTCAACTAGCCTTTCTTCACGGAACACATCATTACTTGAAAGAACACAGTGTGGTGATTCAGATTTGGATATTTGGTGGACATTTTCTTAAAAATGAATAGTGAGCCTCTTGTTTCGGGAAAACAACTGATAGTATTTATCAACAGTGATTAAAATAAGCTTCTCAAGTAGAAATTAGAGTCTTGGATAACTTGTATTAGGCATTTGAGCTTCACAGCTCCTGCCCAGACTTTTCTGATGCTGCCGCTGATAGGATTTTTAAAAATAATTGCATGACAAAATATTTCCACATTTGGAAGATCTGTGTATTTCAGTGACTCAGTTATCTTCCAAATGGCGAAATGCATATTGAGCTAAAAAATCATGTGTGGGTAAAAGATCTATTCAAAGTGCAGAACAGACCTATGGATTTCAGTGTAACAAAGTTCATTGCTGTGATTTCAGATTCTATGTTGCAAGTAACCCTTAAGATACTTTCATTTGCTGAGTTTTGGTGTCATATTAAAGAATGTCCACAATTATCTGAAAAGGCTATTTTAAAATATATCTGCCTCTTCTATCTACATTAGCTGTGTGAAACCAGATTTTCTTCATGTACTTGAGCCGAACAAACATGTCAGCAGATTCAATGCAGAAGTAGACAGGTCCGGCTGTCTTCCATTAAGCTAGACATTAAAGAGGTTTGCAAAAATCATTACATTTTTGTTTGAGAAGTTTTTTCATTAAAATGTTTTAAATATTAACAGTGGGTTCAGTTTTAAATGAATTAAGCAGTATTTAAAGTTGTTTTGATTGCTGACATAAACATTAAATAGATGTAACTCAAACAAGAGCTGTATGAGGGCCTCTGATTTTAAGTGTGTAAAGGGCTTTTATGATCACACTCTTAAGCATTGTTGTAGAATTTCTCCTGGGAGGACATAGTCCCAAATGCTGTTAGAATAAGATCTACCTCTGCTCTTGGGATGAAACTCCAGTTTCTCATTTTCTGTTTTGTGACATGATTTTCCAAACATAGCTTTCCATGACTTTACCCTGTTAATTCCCCTTAAACTCACTGGACCAAGACAATTCACTTCTGCTAGTTTACCAAGTTCTTATCATTCATAATTTATCTAGAGTGAACATAAATTTACATTATTTGTTGTAAAGCCTTTTTCCTTAAGTATGTGCTGTATGATTTTCTCTGGGATACATATAGTCTGTTGTCAGATTGTGGTGCTTTAGGATTCTTTCATTTGTTTCTGTGTGATTTGTTTTTTGTGACACCGTCAACGCTAAAGCTGCTTTTAATAGGATACTAGAGCCACAATCCTGGCTCTACTATCAAACATTGTGCCCACAAATGGAATGGACTGGTTTATTATAAGGTACTTTGTTTATGATCCTTTGCCTTTTTAATAATTTCCTTTTGTTGTGTTTCATTGACCAGTCATTAGATTCAAATTATAGGACCCAGTGCATGGGGTACAACTGGGACAAATGTGGGCCTCAGAATTTGAGAACTAGGTCTGGAATGCCTCATAAAGGTAATGAAGGCAAATTAGACCACACAATTCTACATCTGTAAAGATACAACGTAACTGTAACGTGCAGTAACAGATGCGGGCTAGGCTGTGAGCCCCAGTAGCAGGGGAAGGCTCCAGGGCTCGGATTTTAAAGACTGGTCCAAATATCTAGGTAGAAGCATCCCCCAAGTAGCTGGAAATGTTTCATGTCTTTTCTCAATTCTCTGTTCAGGGACCTCTGAGCTGTAGTTCAGTGTTCTGAACAGATGACAAAGCATGATGTGCAAAAACTATAGGCTTTGGAATCAAAATGGATCTGGGTCTGAATCATGGCCCGATGAGCAGCTGAATGGTCTGATCTCATCCAAGTCACGGAACCTCATCTGTAATGTGGGGACATTTGAAAAGCCGTATGTATACAAAGAACTTAGTGTAATGCCTGGTCAGTATCTAAATAACTTATCCATGATTACTGTTATTGCCAGTACTGTTCCCCTTCAGATCTGCCTTCTCCTGCCAATGTCACATTAGCATCCTGGTTAGTTAGCAAGGGTGGGAGATGCTCGAGTGTCAGCTGCAGAGAAGACAAGGTAAAGCAGTTTACTTCACCAGAGTGCAGACCTTATGAGGTCCTGCCTAGAAGATGCTAGTCATCCTAGCGACTGCTCCATCCCAGGTGTGCCCTGCTGCTGAGCAGATTTGTATCAAGCTCCCTTTCTCCGAATCCCTCACAAGGTAAAAGCTCTGGCCAAGTGCTGCTATCCTGTATCCAGGTGTGTAATTTTCCCAATACATATATATTTCTCTAAAATAGTTCCTTTTTTGCAAATAGAGATAATCCCTCATCTATTTCAAGTTCTTGAATCATTTCCTGGCTATTTCGGTCTTGATTTTCATTGACCTTGTAATTTTGTGAATTGTGGCTTAACCAGGTGTTTCTCAACCTGAGTGCTTCTAAGGTAACCCAGCCCACTCCAGAGGCAGGAAGGATGGCAGTTCTGAGGTGAACTCTCTTCTCCAGCTGGGGAGCTCCAGCTACTGTGTGCACAGAGCCTTCCACCTCTGCACTTGGGTGGACCATCTGATCCTGGAGCCACCCCACTAGCCTCGGGGACTTTGGTTACCTTTGGCTGTTCAGCGTTTGTGGCATCTGGTTTTTCGTTTTCCTTCCCAGTTTGAAGAACATGATGTGAGCTGACTTGATTTGTATCCTAAGACATCTACTGTCAGAGCTGGAACAAACATTAGGCACCCGAGTCTGACTTTCATGTTCACAGATGAGGAAACTAGAGAAACAGGGCTTGCCTAAGGATACATGATTCATTGGTGTCCCTTCCGTTTTTGCTCATTTTAGTATTAGTGATCTTGACTAGTTTTCCCTTGGTTCTCTCCTTCCTCTCTGTCCCCCCACCCTGTTTTTGATGCTTCTACAGCTACTTTTCTGCTAATAGCTACTGGCTAGCAAGTCAGCTTCCATACAGGACAGGAAATAAAACTTGGCACCTCTGACTCCTGGCAGCCCCAACATGCTAGTGATAGGCAGAGGTGCCCTCCAGAGAGGTCCCTAGTTTCTCCCTATGACACAGCTGAGGTGGGCGCACCTGTCTGGAGGTGAGCACTGCGATAGCCACAGGACCCAGAGCCAGACGTGCCTGCAGACCTGTGGCCAGAAGTCGGAGTGGTGGGGTTCTTGTAAAGTCTTGTGCTGTGAAGTGGCAGTAGCCATCACAACCGTCTGCCCCCACCCTCCTCCTCCACCTTGTTCCGTGTGTGCCTGCAACACCTGCCCTGTGCGCTACCCGAGGACAACCCCTTACTTCTCAGCCTCCTTAGAAACAGCACACACTAGAGCACTCCTGCCCTTCAAGCTCAGCTCACCCCTCCAAAGGACTCCTCCACTGAGCCTGGGGTCCTGCGCTGGCCTTGGCCCGTACTTCCTAGGTTGCATTCTAATCACCGTTTTACTTAGGCTCTCACTGGGCTGTGGGTTCTTCAGGGCCAGACCCCCCTCTACCTCGTTCTCTGTGGCTTGCTTCCCTTTATCACCAGTGTCTAAAAACTCATTCCCTCAGAATGTCTAAAATGAAATTTTTTAAAAAACTTTGATTAAAACACATGGTTATCTTGCAATCATAGGGTTCCCCTCCCACTTTGCTTTTCTGCAATGAACATATACTACTTCAGTAATAATTTTTAGTGACATAACAATCATCAGAAGCTGGGCAATACCTACTGCCCTCCAGCACCAGCCTGTGGTCCTGGAGCCTGACTGGGCCTCTGCAGACAGAGCGCAGCAGTGCCGGAGGCTGAAGCCCAGGCCCAGGGCGGGAGCCTCCGATTTCAGCTGCGCAGACCTCTGCTGTTGTACAGCTAGTTAACCCAGCTGAAAACAGGGCAGACGACACCAACAGTAGTTTTTCCTGATACTTTTTCTTTGAACATGAATGCATGTGTTTCCACTTCTTTAATGGCCTGTGGTGCTTATGATTATGTTCAGCTAAACTGCCAGTTGTCTCGTTACAGTCACACCAGGAGCCAGAGCAGCAGCTGCGTGTGCCAGCCGTCGGAGACCCTCCAGGAGGAAGGACCTCGGTGACCCAGTTAGCTCAGGTAGAGCCTCTTTCCGTGTTGTTTTCTTGTCCCGAAAAACAGTGATCCTGAGCATCTGTACCCCTCTGTTCACTCCCTTGTTCTAGAACAACTTGAAGTGTTATTGTAGAAGATGGCAGAGACACAAAGCCAGGCCCTTTTCGTCTACCCTGTCATAAGAATGGCACGGTGGCGCACACTGAAGAGCAGTTCTCCTAAGGAAAAAGAAGAGTGTTAGCCTTTAAGTGTGTTAGAAAGAATTTACTTACCACTTTCCCAAAAAGAGGAATAAAGGGAAGAATTCCAATTTAATTGACATTTGGGAACTGTACCAAGACAAATACCAATATGATTTTGGAGTCAGATCACTGATGGTTTCCATATGGGCAAAGTTTTCATTGTTGGGATCTCAGCAGGCTGTGTGGAAACCTGGGAGGATTTGATACCGCCCCGCCCCCCACACTGCCCCTGCCCCTTGTGGTTTGCTATCTAAAGAGTCCCACAAAACCTGTTCCATGGGTCTCATTGTCTGGTGTCTGCTCTGTGGGAGCCCCTGAACCTGGTCTGCTCACTGTGTTCCCAGCTGCACTCCACAGCAGGCTCTCAGGCCAACAGCTTATGCATTCCAAGAATTCTACATAGAAGTCATCAATATTCAAGGGTGATTTTTATTTTTACTGTATCAAACTGTTCTAAAATTTGTATAAAAAAGAAAATATGGTTGTTTTTTCCCACCTGGCTTACCACTAATTCAAAATAAATAGACAATCATGGAATAAAAAACTTGAGCAGTTTCTTTGAATATCAGCACCTATGAAAGGAAAACATAAAAGCCTCTTTGTCCAGAAGCAGGCAGACTTCAGTATCCGATTTATAGCCTCATATTTGCACTGGGGTTAGAGGTTAATTGAAAAAAGTGGCTGAGGACAGTAGAGGCACAAAGAAACATGGGACAAGGCAGGGATGTGATGTCCTTATTCAGGAAATGTCAGCTGCTACGAAAGGTGTAACCCTAGCCCAGTTTATTCACATCGTACAGAAGAGCCATGTACAAACCAGAAAAAGCACCACACTGGCAGTTCAGGTATGCTGCTTATTTGCTCTAATCTTCTGGACAAGTCTTTCTATGAATATAAGTTAGTAAAACTTTTTGGAAAGCAATTTAGCAATACAGATCAAATTCATTTGTTCCTGCTACACAGACAGACATGTAAGTATGCCGTTCAATGTTGTTTGCAGCAACAAAACTGGAAACAACATAAATGTTCACTAATAGGATACTGAGTGGTTAAGGTGTGGAATAACCATATATGGGACAAAAATGCAGCCAAAAGAATGATGTATATCCCTATCTGCTAACATGGAAAGATACTCGTATTAATTTTTTAAGACTACAAAAACAGCATGTATGACTCAGTTTTTGTAGTAAACGCATACACATAAAATACATCTGGAAGGAGATAAACAAACAGGCTAACAGTGACTCTTATTGTAGAACAAGGCTCCTTGTTAGTTTCATTTTTCTTCTTTCTACACTTAGGCAGAGTCTGAAAAGCTGGCTTCAATTTAGAAAAGTCAATTTCTATTATAGATGGTTCCTAGAGAAGTGTTAGATGATACATACACACCAAGCCCTGTCTTCCATAGGGAAGGTATAAAACCAGCTACCTAACAATTCATGTGAGAAGTAAGATGTAGTTGGACCGCAGAGTGGGAGCCCATTGTCATCAGATCACTGTTGTCTTATCTTCTAAATTGCCTAGTACAGTCAGACTTTTATCTGAATTCTCCTAATACTTAAATATCGGCAACTTATTCAGCTGGTTTTAAAATACTGCAAGTTACCAAAGACCTACAGATGGAAAATAAGCATGTGAAAAAACACTCAACATTGTAGGATTTCATTTCTTGGACAAAGGCACAAGTACAAGCTATGGAGAATATAGATCAGTGGTTGCTGGGGGGTTCAGGGTTTGACAGCAAAGGCATGTAGCATGAAGGGATTTTTCTGAGGGGGTGTTGGAAACGTTCCGTTTCTTCAGTGCACTCATGGTTCTATGCCTTTATTTGTCAAACCTATAGACAGGATCGGGGGGAAAATGGGTGAGCTAACTGCATCCTCTGACCTTCAGTTTGTGACTGCCCTTTATTACATTCAGAACCCATTCATCACACATGAACCTGTGGTGGGAACGATGAACTAGACTAGTGGAGTTCATTCACTGATAGGTTTCTGATCAAGCCACAGAAAGTTATCACCACAGTTTCTTCATTAAGGTGGGATCTAACTTTGTAAATCATCCCATTAATACACTTGCAATACCTAAGGATACAAGTTTATTTCACTTCTTATGTGTATTTAGAAACATTAAGAAAGGACTACCGTAAAGCTAATCATAATTAACACTGATTTTTAGTGCGTGTTTTCCTAATCTTTTCTAAAGGCAAAGTTTTCTGTGTTCTGTTATGCAGGCTGTTGTTTTCACCTGTAATCTCTAATAAACCACTCTTCTGGAATTCCCACAGTCTCTCCTGGTACCAGAGCAGCTGCCGCTTGTCTATGAACAATCTGCGTGGAATACGGAAGAGTTAGGCCCCTTTCTCCGCCTCTGCCTCATGGATCAGAGCTTCCCAGCATTTGTGGAACAGGTGGAAAAGGAATTAAAAAAACTGACAGGACTGAGAAATTAACACTCTATGTACATGCAGAACTAAGGAACCTGAAGGCATTGAAAAATGCTTCCTCCTCAAGATTAAAGAAGATACTAGAATAAAGAGTATTATTCCAAACACCTTTTATCAATGTTTTATTTTTAGAAACAGGTGAATCCACTTTATACATCATTGCACATCAACAATTACACAAAACACAAGTACATGCATCTACAATTACATACTGAGTGAGAACCATGACAGGTGAGAAAACCATTAAATCAATGTGGAAAAAACAGTGTCAACCCCAAAGTATAATTAGTTGCATAGAATACCATGCTAGAATATTTCAAGGTCAATGAAAACTAAAGGTAAATTATAAGAGTTTGCCTTAATTGAATGTATAAGGTTCATCAGCACATCAGTGCAAAAGGATATAAGAATTTATCAACAAATGAAGAATCACTTAAAAAACAATCATACATACATACATACATATATATCTATATATATATATATATATACTGAAATTCATTACAGCCATTCAGTGGACTTTTCCAGCTTACTATAGTCATAGGTTAAGCCCTTAAAATTGTAGATACCAGTTTATTATACTCATCTTTTTGTACCAGAACTGCACAATTTCCTCATCTGACAACATACAATAAGGAATGAATATCAGCAGCTTAAAAATGAGACAAGCATTTATTTTGGATTTCTCCCCCCAAAAAATATAAATATATATATATATATTTATATACTGTATATATCTGTAGGTTTTGCTGTACTTTACAAAAATGTATCACTAGATGGCAGTAGTGCGTTTTAGAGCTTCGCCAATTTAACAGCTGCGGTAAGTAAAAAATGGCGCATGCATGATCCGATCCTCAGAGGACCTTTTTGCTCCTATTTAAATATTTTAATAAAGAAGGAAGCAACATTCACAGCACATCAAGCCCAAAATAGTTTACACCTTCTACACTGAAGCATTGTTTGAAATGTACCTGCTAGGTCACCCTTACAGGAGAGGCTAAATAAGGCATGCTTTAGACAACCGTCGTGGTGTTGCTCACTTAAAGGGGAGAGAACCAAGGAGGTCCAAGCAGAAAATTTAGAAGATTGTGTTGCCACCAGTTTCAGGAACCTAAAGATCTGTAAAGAAACAGTTATTTGAAAATTAAAAGAGTATGTGCTGTCACGTAAGAACCAAATGCCACATAAACCAAAAGCCTTGTTTCAAACAGCATGCTCAGGGATGTGGTGTGAAATTCTGATCTCCATGTGCCTGACTAAAGGGAAGGCACTGGAGCCGGCTGGGTCTCGCCTTGCCCTTGCCTCGCCTTCAGAAGCAGAGGGGACTAAATGGCCTCTGGGAATATCCTTCCTAAGAAGGTGACAATTTACTCTTTAACTCTTTTTAAAGATATAAGTAAACAGTAGCATAAAGTGTTATTTTGAAACATCATACATAGTCTGAAATGGCATTTATATAAATATGTGAAACAATGCGGTTTAAAAATGGTCCTTTTTAGCCTCTACATAACTGGTTCTATCAGTAGGGAGCTGCTCTGAAATGAACGAAAACATTTTGCAAGGTAACACCAAATACTAAGTTTTGTAACAAGATCAACAGAGCCACGTTCATTTCAATATAATTTTTAAAACTTTTAAAGAATGCCATACTTACATTATAAGTAGTACTTAATTTGTATTTCTCTGGCGCAAGTTTTTATCTTTGTGATTGTTGGTAGAGTTGGTTTTCCTTTGGAGGAAAAATTGTATTACAAGAGTTAAAGTCAGTAGTAACTTTTGAAGCATTAACACATGGAAATACAGGGATTCTTTCACTTACTGCCATCCCTGGTGTAGTAAGAAAGTTTATGGCACTATATTAGTATGTAAAAATATCCCTGGGTAAAGTACTCACATACCTTCAATTAATAGACCCTTTTGACTCCCAAGGCAGACAAAATACAGGTAACTTTCCCTTTAATTTATAAACTATGATCTAATTACTATAAAAATTAGAATGGTATTTTTTTTCCTCTACTGAGCACCACTGTCTCTTTTCTCAAATGATAACTGATACTCAATTATACACAGGCAGAAGTGTGCCTTCTGGCACTCACAAACTTTGGGTACTATTTGGTCCCCAGCTCTAGGAGATTTCTAATTCTGGATTGATCCAAATTTGCAGTTCCATCTCCTGGATACATGGGATTGTTAATGGAACCAAATAGTGTATTTATGCTATAGTCCAGCTTGAAATTAACTTTAACAGAACCTGAAGTCTCAAGATATACTGGTCATTTCCCCCACATTATTGATGTAAGCATACTGGATGGGCAAAATTTTATTAAACACTGCATGATACTGCAGTGTTTTAATTTCTTTAAAGATTTCTTTAAACTTATTTATTTTTAGCCCTAGCTGTTGTGGCTCAGTGGACTGAGCGATAGCCTGCCCCAAGTTGCCCGTTCGACTCCCAATGTAGGGCACTTGCCTAGGTGGCAGGCCAGGTCCCCAGCAGGGGGAACACGAGATGCAACCACACATTGATGTTTCTCTCCCTCTTTCTCTACCTCCTTTCCCTTCCCCTCTCTAAAAATAAATAAATAAATCTTTTAAAAAAAATAAATTCATGTATTTTTAGAGGTGAGGGAAGGGAGGGGGAGAGGGGGAGAAACACCAATGTGCAAGACAAACATCAATCGGTTGCCTCTCACACTCCTAGCCAGGGACCTGACCTGTGACCCAGGCATGTGCCCTGACCAGGAATCAAAACAGCAACCCTGTGGTTTGTGGGATGATGCTCAACCTACTGAGCCACAACAACAGTCAGGGCAGTATTGCACTTTACACTGCTACTAAAATAAAACTGTAAGCCTGTCCTGGGAATCAAATGGCTGTGTCAGGCTGCAAAATTTGCACTGCAACATTCATTTCCACTCACTGTCTTCCCTACACTCTCAGCTGTTCCATTTGATGAAACCGTGAATGTAAAATAATTCAATCAGGAATTATTCAATCAACGTCCGGTAAAGTACTTACATTGGCCCAGCTGGTTCATCGTCTACACAGGTGTTCAGTTTTTAAGCAATCCATTGAGAGACAGGAGAAGAAAGGAGAAAACTGTGAGACTCTACGTATGGATTAATAGAACTGCAAATGGCAAGTGGCAAACATGGCTATCATAGCATTTATTCAAGGCCATTCCATCTGGAGGTGCAAAACACTCATGGAGTTATTATTTCTAGATTCAAGTTTTTAATGGCAGGTATGTTGTTTCAATGGTTTTAGTTAACACTTTGAATGCTTGTCATGAAAAACTGCAACTGTAGCGGACAGATAGGCTGCAATGTCATTATATATTCATCTTGTCCCCAAGTTCCAGTGGTTCACTCTTAAATAGATGAGAAGACAAACCAACATTTCAGTTGTAAAATCCTGCTGTTTGTTTTCTGTGGTGACTGCATGTACAATTTTAGCTCAATCCTGCGATGTACATGGATGTGTATGTTCTATACATTTAGCCACACATCCTCACTTCCCCAAAAGACACGTTGTTGCTGTTTTGAGTCTTTAGTCTGGAGAATGAGACTGAGAAAGAAGCCATAACAGTTCACCCTAATACTATGCTGGGTCGCCCAGGCTGGGCCGTGCAGCAACGAGAGGATGGCCTGTGGCACAGCAGGGAATGCTGGGCAGTGGTGACAGTCCTCCAGAAACGACTGCCAGTACAGACAGGCCAAAACCAGGACCCAAACCCAGATGAGGCAAGTATCTTTTTTATTTTTTTAATCAAAAAGCTTCCATTATCTGAGTTGAGAAGCCTTCTTAAATTGGTATTTTATTATTCTGATTTATAAGTTTTTCTTTCCTGTTTCAGCTAAGGGCAACTTGGTCCCACTTAAGCAGGGATATACATACACAGAATTTTTTTTAAAAGACCACAAAGGGGAAGGAACAAGTAAGTCCTCTTAGGTTCTTTTTATTTTACAAAAGCCAGGTATGATTCAGAATGGTTTGATTTCACTAAAGGCTTCTAGAAAACCTCTCAGCAGGATTCCACAAGGGGGCTTGGTGCACATGAAGCAGTTATGGAGGTTACAGTCTCGGTGCAGGCGTCCGCAGGAGCACACGTCAGGAGGAATGTCTGTCTGAGGAGACATTGCTCCACCTGTTCCTTTGAGGCAACGGAGAGACAAAGCCACTGCCAGCACACACGGTGACTGGAGCAAAAAGGATTAAAAAAAAAAAACAAAACAACTAACCACAAACCAGCAACTTATCAGCCAAAACAACAGGCTAGCGACACACCAGTGTCCACAGGATTCTACTACTAACAGTACTATCAAACAGATACAGAGAACAAACTAAGACTTTAGGACACCAGGACGTGTGTGTGCTGTGTATGCAGTGGAGGTATACAAAGACACGTCAGGTACTGAGACACAAGCCCAGCCTAAATCCTCCCTCGCCACAACACCATAATGCTCTCAGCATCCAGCCAAGCCAGCTCAGCTACATGCTAGGAACTAAGCACTTGGGGACTTAAAGGAAAAGAAACAGGCACAAACTCAGAATATTTTGAGTGCTCTGGCTGTGCACCCAAAAATACACAATTCTAAAGCAAGATAGCTGATTCAAGAATATCATCAATCTATCCCAACTTCTAAAAGAAAAAGCAGGGCAGGGGGAATCGCAATAGCCAGGCTAATTCTTTTCAAAGCATGACACTGTCAGCACCAACTCCCACCCATCCCACCACCAGCTTTCCTTTCTATTGTATGGGTGTGCCCGGGCGTCTGACGTGCAAAAGGCTAGAGTAGGGGTTGTTGCAACAGTGGCTCAGGTGTAGCTGCCATGCCTGCGAGTGGGAGCAGCTGTTACTCACACTAGTGTCTAAATCTCATGAGCCCCATCATCTCTTTCCCCAAATCCACTTTCACATTTACAGGAGCAAAGAACACAGCCGTGTGTCCCCTACATTCCTAGACTGAATCACTATCGGCAACACTACTCTCCCTTACAGGTTG